CTTCAACAGTTTAATAGTAAATCGGCTCTATTATCCGAGACGCAGCCCGGGCACTTTTGCTGAATTAATTCACTTGTCTGCTCGGTTATTTTCCACTCGGCCTCAGCACCAGCTTAAAGTACTTCACCAATTTAATATTAAATCGGCTCTATTACCTGAGACGCAGCCCGGGCACTTTTACCGATTTAATTCACTTGTCTGCTCGGTTATCTTCCACCCAGCCTCGGCACCAGCCAAAGTACTTCACCAATTTAATATTAAATCAGCTCTATTACCGAGATGCAGCCCGGCCACTCTTACCAATTTAATTCACTTGTCTGCTCGGTTATTTTCCACCTGGCCTCGGCACCAGCCAAAGTACTTCAACAATTTAATATTAAATCGGCTCTATTACCGAGATGCAGCCCGGGCACTTTTACTAATTTAATTCACTTGTCTGCTCGGTTATTTTCCACCTGGCCTCGGCACCAGCTAAAGTACTTCAACAATTTAATATTAAATCGGCTCTATTACCTGAGACGCAGCCCGGGCACTTTTACCAATTTAATTCACTTGTCTGCTCGGTTATTTTCCACCCGGCCTTGGCACCAGCTAAAGTACTTCAACAATTTAATATTAAATCAGCTCTATTATCCGAGACGCAGCCCGGGCACTTTTGCTGATTTAATTCACTTGTCTGCTCGGTTATTTTCCACCCGGCCTCGGCACCAGCTAAAGTACTTCAACAATTTAATATTAAATCGGCTCTATTACCGAGATGCAGCCCGGGCACTTTTACTGATTTAATTCACTTGTCTGCTCGGTTATTTTCCACCTGGCCTTGGCACCAGCTAAAGTACTTCAACAATTTAATAGTAAATCGGCTCTATTATCCGAGACGCAGCCCGGGCACTTTTGCTCAATTTAATTCACTTGTCTGCTCGGTTATTTTCCACTCGGCCTCGGCACCAGCTTAAAGTACTTCACCAATTTAATATTAAATCGGCTCTATTACCTGAGACGCAGCCCAGGCACTTTTGCCAATTTAATTCACTTGTCTGCTCGGTTATTTTCCACCCGGCCTCGGCACCAGCCAAAGTACTTCACCAATGTGTTGTCGTATGCCGAGAACGGTGACTTACCAAGTGCCGAGCTTGGACGCCTGGGTTCAAATTGCAGGCAGGTAAAAGATACTGGCCGACATTGTCTTCCAACGTTGGCTTGGCTTGGTGGTTACACTGGGAGGTGTACATCATGTATGTATGCCCTGGGTTCGAATCCCAGAAGTCACTTGCAGCAATCGCAGCTCTTGTTTTTTATATTTACTATGGATCAAGTTGAAAATTTGAACTATGGAGGTAAGTTCTGCCCAGTCTGCCTCTGCTCGGCTGCTAACTTAAAGGCCCAACTGAGAAGCCGGCCTCGGTGAAGCCTCGGCTGACCATGTTCATACATTTTTGTCCATGGCCGACTCTGTGATATCTACATCTGACCAGCTGACCCTGGTAACCAGAGTTGAGGGCCCTCGGCCGACCACCAACCCAGGCCACGGTCGAAGTATCAGCTGACCTTGCATAGCCTAGCTGCTAATCAGAAGTGATGGCCCTCGGCCGATCACCTACCCAGCATTGTTCAAACTGTCAGCCGACCTTGCATGGCTTAGCTGCCCCCTCGGCCGATCACCTACCCAGCAATGTTCAGAACTGTCAGCCAATCTTGCATGGCTTTGCTGCCCCCTCGGCCGATCACCTACCCAGCAATGTTTAAAACTGTCAGCCGGCCTTGCATAGCTTAGCTATCTTTCATCAGCCAAAAAACTGTCAGCCGACCTTGCATTGGTTAGCTATCAGCCGATACACAAATAAAGGGACTTGACTTCCCAGCACAGCTTCCTCCTACTGATCGGTTTATGATAAATCTATGTAGCTGGCCGACCCTTCTTCACCTTGATACTGGGATCACATCAGCCAATTCATCAACACAGGGTTATTGGCCCTCATCGGCCCATCAGCAGGCCCCATCAACTATGGCCTGTTTGTATTGTCGGGGCTCTCAGTGTAGCTGGGTGATTCCTACTAACTGCCCTGGATCCAAACTCCCCACGTGCAAGGGGTTTATGTCGCAAGTACAATATCAAGGTTGTGTCTGATGACAGCATTGGTGATCGCACGGGCGTGGTAGCCGAGGTCGTTCAGGCAATTGGCAAAGTGTGGGAAAGAGCTATGGACCCCGAGGCTTCATCCGACCCTTCGATTAGGAATTTGCAGGCCGCCTTTGATAAATTGTTGACGAGGGGAGATGAGTTTACCGAGATGGATCGTATGGACCTGGTTCGTCATAGCGAAATTCACCAGGAGGCGCTCAGATCCCTGCCTGACAGCATAGCGACAACGACAAAAGGGATGGACCAGGGTTTAAGTAGAAGATTAGATCACAAGACCGAGGTTGGTTCGCTATGTAGTTTGCACCCGGGCACGGTTGAAGATACCCGCTGCCGGATAGTGCTCACATTTAATTGGTCGTAAGACAAGCCTCCCGGCTCAATTAGTCAAACGAACACCTTTTCAACCCTTGCCTTTCATGATAGGAAAACATGATGAACTACGAAGTGACACTGCTGAAACCGGACACAGACTAACATCATTGAACATGCTATGTATTTCGCACCCGGGCATGAATGACTAACATCATTAAACATGATAGGTTTAACTGACGAATGAAACTTTCTTGGACCGGGTGGAACGAACACTTTCTTCAGCAATCTTTTTCGACCGTTCTCAGGTTACTATACCGAGTTCCCCTGTAGAAACCTTGCCTTTCATGATAGGACGAGGTTTTGGTTTTGGCTTGGTGGGGACATCAATAGATGGTTGCTGACTGGGACCGGCCTCTGACTCCTTTTTTGAAGGGACTGGTCATTTTGCGTTGACACCACTTGACTTAGTGAAATCAAAGCTATTCGAAGCTTTGGTTGTGTCCGACCTCAGATTGGTTGCTTGAGCTGGTTTGACAGTGGCTTGGATAACAGCCGAGGCAGCTCGGCATTTGACTTTGCCTGGTCAGGCACTCCTCGGGCCAAGTTTGTAACCCTTCTCTAACCGAGGAAACTTGCAGGGTGTATCCTCCTCATCAGTGAATTTTCTCTTCTTCGCTCGATCGGCCGACTCCACCCCACAGCCCAGGTCAGCTTCCCAAAATGTATCATCAGCCAAGACCTCAGTGTCCGATGGTACTTCATGGGAGAGAGCCCGGGTGTCGTTGTACCGAGGCTGAAGCTCGGGGCTGGTATCTACAGTGATTGTAGCATCGTCTGAGCCCAAATCTGATCCCGAGTCTCTATCCTCTTCCAAGGTCGGGTTGACCCTGCTAGGTTTCACTGTGGGCTCGGTCAGAGTATCCTGCTTTGGCCTCTCTTGACCATTATCGGAGTCTGAGTCACTATCATCAGAGCCATCCTCACGATGTTCGTCATGCTGTTTGGTTGGTTTCTTGGTTGGTTTCTCCACGTCCAAGTCTTCTCCATCGTCATCGGAGCCATCCTGATCAGGAGTCCAGTCATCCTTAGAAAACTGTTCGGTTCGTTTCTTGGCCGGCTTGTCCACATCCAAATCCTTCCAACTGTTGTCATCGAACTGCCGATCTTCCACCCCTTCCTTTCTCTTTGGCCTGGCTTCCTCATCTGACGGTGACTCGGTTGCTGCCCGGCCTCTCCTTTGACCCTTGCTTCTGCCGGGCTTCTTGCCCTTCCCAACACTATGAACATGAGGTTTAGGAACGTGAACTTTGATTTTCCTTCGTGGAGGTGCTTCCAGCAGCATTTTCCCCTCAAGAAAGGATTTAAATCGAAAGGCAACTTTGTGTTGTTCTTGACGTTCATACCAAAACTGGAGAGCTTCAGTGACCATCTCCATCGGGAATTTGGAGGGATCAAGAAACTTGTAAAAGTTGTTACCTTCTCCATTTACTGATCTCCAAGCCGGGGGTATATATTCTAGATCAATGAAGTCAAGTAACTTTGATCCAATAGCCGTCCAAGGAGCCGATCCCTTACTCTGCCCAGCTGCAAGATCTAAGTAGACAAATGTTTAGTGATACAGGGCAAGAAATCTCTGGGGACCGGCTTACTATAGTGCTGGTTGACAAATGTACGAAGAACATTCAGCCGCCAAATTCGAATATCACGGGAAGTTTTAAGTGGTGGTTTTGATGGATTGGGTAGAATAGGTTCCAGGTATAGGTTCTTCTCCAAAGTCATAGCACCCCGGGATCGGTGTCCTCCTTCGGCCGAAGCAAGATCCTCCAACCCATAGTATTCTTCATTGTGTGCTCTCCAAGAAGATACCGATATTCCTTCCTCATGGAAAGTCCGGCTATGGTTATCAATAAAGTCTTTCCCATTCCCGAGTTCTTGATTGAAGTCGTACGTCGAGATGTCCAAATTACCATTGGGCTTCAGATAACATCCTAAGATAAAGACCCGGACACCCATTGTGTCATAAAGTTCCTTGGAAAATGCATGCATCTGAGCCGTGCAGTTCTTTACAGCCAGTCTACCAAAGGTCCAGATAAGCCAACGTTAGAATAATGAAAATTAACTTACTTGGACTTGAGTTCCGGGTCAACTCCCTTCTTGTTGTACTCCTCGGCCGTCCTCTGCAGTACGTCTTTCTCCCTTTTCTTCAGTTTTCCCATCATTTGAGTCACGACCCGCTCCCGAAAATCAAAATGAGTGGGATCTCCCCCTTTAGGCCTCTTTTGTCCCTCTTCAATGGCTTCGGCACAAAGCCTTTTCGCTTTGGTATCGATGGTGTCCTTGTTCTCATGCTGGAACACACGCCGGGCATGCCACGACTTTCCCATCCTCGGCATTTTCTGACTTCTCTT